TATGTATATACGTGTGTGTGTGTGTGTTTATATGTATTGTTGTTATGATATATGTAACCATCGTAGACTTATGCCCCATTATATCAATAAATGTCCTATAAATTGCTCATATATTGTCTCATGACCGCCAAAATTCGTCACAAGCTACCTAAATTCTATGTCCCCATCTATTTGCATTGCATTGTATCGAACTTCATCGTCCTTTCCATTGTATATAGTTTCCTTACCGTTTATTGCTGACCATGTTGTGGACTTGAAGACTGTCGAGATTGTGAAAATTCAATAAGTTATAGATAGTATATCGGCCTTCTAATAATTTGTTTATCGATGGCTGACTATCGCTGTTGTTCTTGAAATTTCGATTTACATTGACCGGCTTGCATAACGTAGCCACCTACTGCATTCGCTCCCGTAAGGTATATACACTGATATTTTGAATATCAACCTATATTACAACTACTGAAATGTCACAAGGTATACAAATATGAAATTACATAGTAGCGCATATCCACTTTCATTGATAATGTACGACGTTAACATATGCGACCATTGAACAAGCAACTAAACATATTGAAATTGAAATGTGTGGGCAGGTGAAACTGTGAAAGTGTCGCTTCAAATGAACAGTGAGCAGGCGCGGAAATTAAAGATCGGGCGCGATAAGCATTGCTTAAAAACGTACTCTTACTTTAATGCGGTATGTCGGTACACTATATTTTATTTAAAAAAAGTAAAATAAATACCACCAGAAGGTAAAATGATAATCCTGGGCGTCGCAAAATATTTGGTTACGTTTATTCAGATCGAGTACGTAAATTATCATTAAAAGAATGCTCGGCATTCGACTCTTTATGATCGCTACGACTGTTTCCCGAAGACCGGGATACAACCTCTCCGATAAAATACTTGTCCTCTCTTTGTAGTGCTTAATATTTTTGAAAAAGAACAAATATGAATATTGCTCTCTTTCTCAAAAAAAATAAATAATAATAAAGTGATTTACATACTACCAACTTGCCGAGTATTTATTTATCAAGCTATCAGCCATCAGGCCATGGCCAACGAGAATCCGTATTTAACTGATATGAATTGAAAATCGATTCTGATATATAAATATTTACATACCAAAAGGAACATCTTGCAAATTTTTAGAGTATATGGCGGCCAAAATGGAAAACCATTCCATGGTTGTGTGTTGTAAATATTTAGATACACCCCTAGTCCCCAACTTGTTGTGCTCTTGGGCACGGCGTGGCATGTAACTTCCAAAGCATGCACTGTGACCTGTGGGCCCTTCCATAAAACGCGTGCAAACGCTGCCACCGCCGAATGCAATGTATCCTTGTTGGAGTGCCGCCATTATCCAGAGTACAGGGTAGCTATCGCGAGCTTGTGTATTACTATGTTCAAGTGTGTTGTGTGTTCTGCAATACTCACTTCCCGGTGACCTGGTCCAGAGTATCACTCCCTTGTTGTCATTGTCATGTGATGTGTTTCAAGTCTCCTGCATAATCACCTAAATTGTCGTCCTCTCTCGTTTTCGATATAAAATAATAAAAGGTCAGAAATTTAACATTGGTCGAATATAAAATAAGACAAACAATCGACGAGCCGGAAGAATTCAAAAAAAAAAATTGAACCTAAAATTTGAGAATCCTATGGGCGGCCAGATTCCTATTTGCTACGATAGCACTGGTGGTATGCATACATACATACATAGTTACATATATAAATATATAAATATATAAATATATAAATATATATATATATATATAGAATACATAGATACATGTGTAACTATATAGTGTATTGACACACTAATGTATTGTGATATAGATACATCTTTTAATGCTCAAATCCACTTTTCAATACAGCAGTAAACTCGCTCGAATCCACAAAACCAGCGGGGAGTGAGACCAGGAGAGATCTTTTCTATGCATAACCATTGTAAGCAGACAAAAAGATCCAACCATTATTCATTCTATACCACAATCGACTATCATGCCTTGGACGTTCTCCATCCAGAACTAGCGAGTTCTAGTACATAATTAGGCACAGTCATATCGCCGTCGTTCAGAATTACTATGTCAAATTCCTCCAAAAACTTTTCTTTGCGCTCCTCCTTAATGTTGAGATATCCGATTTTGATGATATTGGAATGCTCAATACCATCAGACATCTGCACATCGCCTGGAGAAGGTGATAAGTATAGAAAAGTCGTTAGGATAAACTTAAGTAGTACCTGATACACTTGTCCGCTAAATACATATTCCTGATATATTTGTCAATATATATGCGAATAGCAATCCGCTATCAACATGATACGGAAGGATACACTCCTCTACACAGTGATGAACGCGTATAGGCTTAGCCTGAAAGAACAGCGATTGCCAACGCACACTAAGCCGCTCGTGATCATAAGTTTCTTCAAATGTTACATCATAACACGTCCACGGGATACAAAGTACTGCAAGTGTCATTTACACACGCAGGCACAAGTAATGTTAGACGGATTTGTATCGATTTGTATCAGTTTATGTATCGACAAAAAGGCTAAGACCCAACCTTCGTATATACTACACTCACCTAGAGAATCACCCATGAGAATTAGGTTGTGTCGTTTCAGGGCTTGTTTGCCGAACTCGGTGCCTGCGATAGTCACTTCTTTCTTGTTGAGCACATGTATTACCTCTCCTATGAAGCCAATACAAATACCTGCAACCAGAACCAGATCGTAATAAATATATGGGTAAAGCAATGTGGTAAGAGCATGGGAAAGAAATAGAGAAGTACTTGTCGGGATTATTCCACTAACACATCTTTCACACTTCCCGCGTATGAATACTGGCAGGTGATAACAAAGTAAAGCACATGACCTAGAGTGCCCAGACTTCCGATGGCATCAATTAAAATGGGAAATAGTGGAAATGTACATCGACATAAACACCGCAAAATCAGGTCATTCTCCGTATGGTACTGGTTCTTAGTAGTCCAAAATTTGCCTATTTACGTGAGAGCCCACCGCAAGCAAAACCGCATGCATATTGTTTATATATTTTAACAAGTGTCGACAAATAAGCGATCAAGCCATACATCCACAAGCAAGATGCTCAGAAGAAACGACTTTGAGTACACATATTTAAAACGTTAATTAAATTCACAGAATCATACAAGTATTGCAACACGCCTGCTGCACTCGCAGTGTAATACGTACCGTTATCGTCAAATTCCATTAGATTGGAAATGATATGTACGTTGGGATACTTGGCCAAACCACCATTCAAGTGACTCTCCAGGACTCCTCGTATAACGTCTGAAATTAGGAGAAAATTTCATCCATGCTATTCAAATTGTAGTGACACACACTAGTTCACATATTAGTTGGAAGCTACTCAGTGAACTCTGCTGAGGGTTACAATTGAACCATTGGTTAATATAAACATACATATATATATATATATATATGTGTATGGATATACATATGTATATGTATATTTGTGTTTATTTTTATGTATATATGATATGTTGACA